TGTTGTGGTCATGCACCACACACCTGTTGGCAGTTTGTTTTCCGTGGTATATGGCAGGAGTCAGGAGGGAAAAGCCAAGAAAAACATGTCTGCCTTCACCATCCGCCCAGACTGCTGCCCATTCATCCCATTTCTGTCATTTTTTTCTGTCTGTTATATTCATATATTAAAGGAAACATGATCTCCAACGGAGTGTTGTAGGTTCTCACAGCGACAGAGGTCACCACTGGCACAGGCCAATGTTTTTGACAGCTTTAGAATGCCATAGTGCATCATGGGAGATTTGACATGCTGGGGGAAGCTTTATCTGCAGGAGAAATCGCCAGTTTTCTTCATTAACGGAGATGTCCTTCTGGGTCTGATATATACATTCCAGGGAAGACCACTCCTACATCGCATGAGATTTAGGTAGCAGTGAATATATAGGTACAGTGATAATTCCAGTGACGAGTTACATTACATTATGCTGGCTATTTATATTAGCCCAACCATTCTCTAAAAGTACAACATTATTTTTCATACCTTTATTAGAAGTATTCTCTTTTCTGTTCATATTATTTCTGTCCGTATCAAAACAGTGAACTTTAAGTTGTTGGATGTTGCTTTTATTTATTTTTTTGTTTTAAATTCTATGGTTCCTACAGAGGAATGGCAAGTAGCAAATAGAAAAAATATGATATTGCATTTAAATTACTTTGGTTTTTGGTCTTGTACCCCTTGCTGTTACCTCTCTTTCCTTGTTTTCTATTCCATTTTGAGGGTTCGGCCTGAGACAGGTTGCCCTCAATTGGCCCGTCTTGCACACTTCATTGAAAAGCCACACTTAACCACAAACCGTAATGCTTATCTTGTGCAGTTCTTTTGAAACTCACTTGTGACCTAGACATGGTTTACCGCAGTGTCTGGTTTATAATGTCACCCAGAGCTGAAAAGGAAGTGGAGATTCCTTTGGCTTTTGTCCATTCAGAGTCTGATTCAGGCATCTGCTGTTTGTTGGACCCTTCATGCCACACCAGTACAATCCTCATCTCAGTCACCCCTTTTCTGCTGCAGCGTCCCACAATCTGTCTGACAACTGTACATGCATTTGCCACAAAACCCAGATCTCAGCTGGTTCTGATCGGCTCTGGACCCGTAATGTGGCTCAGACTGATTTTTCCCACAGTGGAGATGAATGCCCACCATTCCAGATGGCATCTTTGAGGTCACTTCTGTGCAGGCCTGTGTTGAGCATAAACACCAGCAGAAGATTAAAAGATCAGCCACCAAGGAATGGTGCTTTTTCATGCCTTGTCCTGCAACTCATTCGAGAACCCATGTGGGTTGGGAGAGTGGTCTGCGATGGCTATCAGTGGCATGAGATAGCATGTTGTCTCCATGCACTTGAGCCTTATGTGGAAGCAAAGTGGGCGAAAGCTGAAAACATGGTATTCACAGCAGCATTTTCTTTAATCCAGTCTAATCCAGTACAGTATGTGCTGGTGTTTGTTCCTTAATGGTTTCTCCTGATGGAATCTCTCAAGATTTCACAATGCAGCCGCCCCCAACCCCAGAACATTGTTACCCCTCTCCACAGGTAGGATGTCTAATGGAGAAACCGTCATTACCCAGCCACGGAAACCAGGGGCGGGTTGACAGGATGGAGTACAATGAGGAGATCTCCATCTGAAATAGCCATCAACCGTTATGGCCAGCTTTAATACTGTTCCGGATCTTTCTGCTTCATTGTATGGGCATTCAAAACATTTTTTTTGATTGTTCCAGGACATTTAGGTAGAAAGCAAACTAAACCCAATTTGAAATCATTTTGGGACTTTTCTCCTGAAACTGTTTCATATTTGGTGTTGGCATTAGCTGTCCGACAAAGCAAGCGAAGAGAACGAGATCAATGCCAAAAATGTAAATATGTGCCGACGGTAATGTATTTATTTTATATTGTATCCTCTGGGGAAAAACTGAAAGGAACCACATATTTTAAAAAAAACTTTTATTTCCTGACAGAAAATCCCATTCGGCGGTATTCCCTTTGAAACCATGGGCAGGAATCTTATTATGGATGTAAGTGAAGTAAAACAGCCTGCATTCTCCGGGAGAATTGGCTTTTGTATGGAAGAGATGTGAGAGCATGAAAAGACTTATCTTAGAACAAAAAGAGTTCTTTATGGAGCCAGTGTGGAAGCCAGTGTGGTCTTTGTCTGACCTATGTTGAGAACCTCACGTCAGTGTGGCGGCGGGAATTTATATTATTCCCGCGGTCCTGCTGTTGCAAACAGGCGGAATAAACAGGATTTAGGTGCAGAGGGCTGCAAGTCTCGGGGCTGTTTAAAGTTGAGGCCTTTCATGGAGGTCCGACTGTCCCTTAAGCACTAAACAGTAAAAGGAGTTTAGCCACAACCTGTTTAAAATGGTCTGGAGCTTCCTTAATGAAAATTGTGTAAATGACTCAGTTAGCTGTTTCTTGGTGCATCTCTGTGGTCCTGTCCTCGGCTTTGTATTTATGGTACTGACTGGATAATGTTTGTCTTTACACAGGATAATGAAATTTTCAGCTTTTCTTTATATAGAAGTAAGATAAACCATTGCAGCCGTACAGGAAATGAGTGGTTTACTGCTTGGTCTTCACCTTTCATTGTGCATTTCGTCGCTTCAGTAGTAGACACATTTATACATGAAGTCTCTCTTTTGATAGAAACAAAATTGCTCTTCAAACACTTAACCCAAATTCTTGAGATATGTCTGTTAGCTTTTCAAGCAAATATACTGATCAGACGAGTGAATCGTGAAAATGCTTCTTGTCCAGTGTGAATATGAAGCAGTTAATGAATAGCTGACCTGTCACTTTTCTGTGCATGTGAATCTGCTCTTTCTGTATTTAATGAGTCATCCATACTGCACCATTAACAGCAGTAGTGCATATAAAATCAGGATGGTGGGACTGTAACTGCGTTGTGTAGTTACGCCTTCAAATCTGGCCCCAGTTCTGTTTATGCATATTCTCCCTGTGTCTTTATACTGTAGGTCCTCCATTACAATGCAAAAACATGGAGCTGAAATGCTCACTGAAACCTATACCAAATATATGTGCAAGTGAGTCCTAAATAAGTCCTGGGTGAGTCCTAAGTGAGTCCTGAGTGAGTCCTAAGTGAGTCCTGAGTGAGTTCAATCCATCCATCATACCTGAAAGCCCTTCCTTCTTGGGCCCTGATTACTGAAACCTAAATAGCAAATAAATTATCATCAAAACACTGCTTAAGCACTCGATTTTTTGACTTTCAAAATGGATGTGGAATTTATATTCCCTGATGTCTTTTCTTCCTGGTATTCCATTTTTCTTTGATGTCTTTGAAAAAATTACAAAACATCACGTAGCATTGGTGAAACGCTCTAACGAGATTAAACCTTTTGGTTTGATGAAACTTCTAAAGGTGGGAAATGGCGTGACTCTGGAAACAGCTGTGAAACGACAGACATGAAGGTGTTGAAATGGAGGATTGTGTAATGGGGTCCATGTCAGTCTGCAGATACTTAAGAAAATTTTGGCTTTTCTAACCAGACACACATGAGATACGGAACAAAATAAGGACTGTGTTGTTAGGAAACACCTGGAACTCCATCCGTCCGTCCATCTATCCATCTTTTATAAATGCTTACCCAGTACAGGGACTCATAATACAACTAGAGGTGTCTTTCATAAAGAAAAAACTTTTTTCACAGGCTTAAGTTCCATTACCATGGTCTTCAGCACCTGTTTGTTGTGGAGACGTTGTGATATGCCACATTCCAATGACACCTCCCTGCTTCTTTTTTTCTCCCAGGGGGGTAAGAAGTTCAGTGGACCATGCGGGGGCAGAGACTGCAGTGGGGGCTGTAAATGTTTCCCGGAGAAGGGGGCAAGGGTAAGTGGCAATTTTGTCTCTGAGGATCAAACTAAGGATTAATATTGCAGCACCACCAGCATTGTGTCACTTTTGACCTATGATAAGGATCTTTGGTCCCAGCTTCTCATGCACTGATACCTTCCCATTGGTGCCTGGTGCACAGGAGGGCAATCTGATTGGTTACTTCCATGTCCTTCTGTTTTCAACCTCTTCAATGTGCGTGCCCAAGGAGAATGACTTAAGGTACCTTAAGACCAGAGTGGATTTTTTAAAGACAAACCATAAGGGTCAGATTAAGGTTTTTTACTTAATAAATTCTTGCTTTGTGGGGAACAGAATGCATAACCGGTGACCAGAGTGGGATATGTTCTGTTATGATGGCTTGATGTGTCTTACCATGGAAACCATCTGTTAAATTCTGGCTTTTTCAGTCAAGTAGCTATTGTTATAAAAGGCCTGAAGCTATGTTATGAATTTCCTTGAAGTTAAAATAACACCAAGATGCTTAAGGAAATGGGTTTGTCTTTTCATGTTTGATGTCAGACACCCCAGAGCAAAAACAGAGCAGGAGAGGGAGTGATGCGACGGTAGAGGAAGTGCATTCCTTCGGCTGCGTCACTGCGCCGGTTCCCTGGCCCTGGGGTCAGGAGACTGGGCCTCCCCGCTCTAGACGCACACAAAGCAGGCTGATTGTCCTGGATGCCTTAAATTCCAGCTGCTGTTTCTCTTAATTTGAACAAAAAAAAGAATACAAGCAGTATTTCCACATGCAGTGCCTGTAAACACTCTCTATGGCGTGCTGCCCTCTGCCCATACTGGGACAGCTATGTACTGACGTGGGGCTGCGCACACGTTACTGTCCGGACCTCAGGTCACAGGCCAGGGCGCCGATGCATTCCTCAACGCTCCAGTTCCCAGTGAGCACTGCTCCGTAAGGACGGGCTCTCCGTCGGTCACTGTGATACACCGTCACCACAGCGCCTCCCCCTGGTGCTCACATCCGCTGTACAGCAAGTTACTGAGAGACTACACACACACCCCCAGCCCTATAAAGCAGAAGTCCCACCCCATTGCCTCATTTACAGCTGTTCCTGGCTTGAATGGGTCGTCTCAAGATCACCTGACAATGGGATGAAAGATATAAACAAAATATGGTGATATATAGTAAGAGGTGAAACATATAATATGTATAAAGATATGTGATGTTTATAAAATAAATTATATTAAACAGGTGTAATTCCCTCCGGTGATGTGACCAGACTGAGCAGGGGGGTAGTCTCAGACTGAGCAGGCTTCAGTCATTTTACAGTCTGTTTCTAGTCTTTGCTGTTTGCTGTTCCACCTGGGATCTTCAGGTGGTAGCATCCACAGTGATAAGATTTCAGGGTGAGTCATGTGGGAAAGACCAACACAAGAAGGATGTTTTGGGGAATTTCTTCCTGACATTTCCCCTATGGACCAGCCACATTTGGGGTGGAAAGAGAAGCTGTTTATCATCCCGCTAAACAGGCACATCTTGAGAAATAATTATTTAGTCTCAACAATGGGATGTGTTTGGAGACCTTTCCTTGTGTTGACATGTCTGTTGGTGCTCTGGGTTTGTGGTTCTCCACAATCCAGTGCCAGTCTGTAAGAAAGCAAGACCTACAACACATGCTTTCAGATAAGTCTCTACATACGGATAGAAACTCCTCCTCCATTTGCCCCCCAAGCTCTCTCTGTAGATTACACACAGCTGTACAGCGCATTGAAATCGTTAAGTGGCCACTGTACAAACACCAGTGCATAACAGAATAGTTTACGGCTGTTCATCTGCTGTTGGACGTGATGTGAAGTCCACAAAGTCTGTGTCCTTACTGGCAGAAGGGTCTAACATCTGCATTAAGCTGCAAATAAAAGCATTCTCACACGGAGAAGACTGATTATCACCATCGGCAGATACTGGCCAATTTAACTAGGTGTTGCAAGAGCTAGGAGACAGTTTAGAGCGTGTCCCTTTAGGGAATGACCGAATACGCCGTCACTGAAGACATTAATTAGAATTATGTGGGCTTTTTTTTTAATGATTTTGGCAGGGAAGAAGCCAGATCAATGTACCACCAAGCTGTAGACGGCATTAGTCGCTACCTGAAGTGGGTTTGTGACTAGTGGTCCTGGGAACCAGCAGTCGAATAGTTTAGACAGGAAGTTGCGTGACAGAGTCTTTGATTTATGGGACAGTACATGGGAACAAACCACGGAATGTATCCAGATGTTGTCCTGGGGAACGTAGGGGGTATCTATAAATATTTCCAGAGTGGATTGTTTTTGTGTCTTTGCTACATGGAACAAAATTTCCATGAAATTTCCAGCATTATGGAAAAACACGAGATGCGGAGTCGCTGTACATAGAGGAGCGATGGGCTTTCTGGACTTGCAGTCCTTTGGGGCCGCCTGCGCTCGCGGCGCCGGCCCGCTGGGGCCTCTGCATCTCTCATGCCTTTCATGCCAAACAGACTGCAGCAGTAAGAGATCCCCCAAGCTCCCCCCACCACCCCCACGAAGAATATCACATGTTTTTTCCTGTTGCTATTAGGAAGACATGGACCAAAGGAACTTATTCATAAATAGATGTCTGCTGTTTTCCTCACGGTAAATATGACAAGGCATGGAACATTTTTGGAAATGGAAGCAGGAAACTATATGAAGTACTGTGCCAAAGTTGTTGCCGGTCATAATTCGTGTTTAAAGCAATTTATTTTGCGTAGTAAGTATATATTTCCTCAAAAAAAAACATTTAGTGTTACAACACAATAAAAACTAGCAAGAATTTCTTCTGCTCTCTATAAAATCACTGATATATTACTGGCTGGCTAGATGAATGCCGCTTCAGTTCCAAAATCTCTCCTCAAGGGTACCCCAGCCATTCCACATTCCACAATTCAGTTAATTCATAATTTAATTAGTAATATAACTTCGAATAACTATTTTTTTTTTATCTGAAGCACAGCATGAAATATAAAACCGTATTAAATGTATCTTCAGCAAATGAAATGGCATTTTGATGTGTGACGAGGTCTGTAGCAATGAGCCCCTGCATTTATGATTTTACAGAAGACAAGCTGGAACACTTAAGCCAAATCCTGTAAAGAAAAATGTTTGTGGGGGGAAAAAAAGCAAACTCTGGGTTAGAAAACTCTGGGCTAGCAAACTCTGGGCTAGCAAACTCTGGGCTACAAAACTCTGGGCTAGCAAACTCTGGGCTAGAAAACTCTGGGCTAGCAAACTCTGGGCTAGAAAACTCTGGGCTAGAAAACTCTGGGCTAGCAAACTCTGGGCTAGAAAACTCTGGGCATGAGCCCCTTTGCTCGCACTTCCGTGATGCACTTGAAAGCGCATGGTTTGTTTACCCGTTTATCTGTAATATGATTTTCTCTGTTTATACCCTTAATGTGGTTTAATAGTGTTCTGGCAAGGCAGCTATCTTAATGTTTTGTGTAATAGTTTGGATCTCCCAAAACATACCAAATCTCCCAAAACATACCAAATCTCCCAAAACACATCAACTAACATCAACATTCCAATGACACCCCCACCATACAGTACGTAAATCCTGGAAATCCACAGGCAATGGGGGTGAGATCCAAACCCCCAACCATGCAGGCCTGAGGCCTCAGCGCTACCTACTGAGACATAGTGCTACTCCAATCACAGCTCCATCATGCTTAATTATTTACACATTCAGTCGATCACAAACCTGTACCTAAGACACACTACAGTACACCAGTGTTCCAAAGAGCAGGGGCGTTGCTAGAGATTTTGGGCCCCATGAAAGCATATCATATTAGGCCCCCCAGTCCAAACCAATCCAGTTATTTTCCTAATTTTTTAGGGCCCCTGTCGCTCAGGGGCCCTTGGAATCGTCCTAGCTTTCCTCCCCCTTACGGCGCCCCTGCCAAAGAGTGAATAAATTTCCCTTATTAGATGGCTTCTGTCACTTGGTGAGGAGGGGGCACAAGCTCCTCCTAGAGGCATTTAAATAACCCCCCCTACGGGAATGCCAAGCCCCCACACCAGATCTGCTCAGAGCCTTTCAGACGATCAGTAAATAGGAATCACACGTTTGACCATCTTCTGGTAATAATCTTGTTGGCATAAAAGGATTTTCTTGGAATAATTCAAAGGCACCGTCCCCAGCCGCCTGCTTTTGACTACGTCCATATTATGTTATTTGAGCCTTAAAAGTTAAAGACAAGGGTCATAACAAGGGACACATTGTTAAGGGACAGCAGGAGAGACTCCGATAGGCTGATGGCACGGAGCACAGAGCCTCCTCTGAGCAGGCCCATTAAAAGGCGTGGGCCAGAGGCTGCGACAGGGAGCTAAAAGGAACTTTGTTCTCAGCTTCTAATCACGGGGCTAGATTTAGCAGGATAACAGCATCAGGGTCAAGGGTCAGGTGCTCAGACAGGATGCTGGACAGAGGAGGGGTATAGTCCACTTGGCAAGGTCCAAGCTGAATGCATTTTTTTAGTTGATCAGGAGCTATTTTAAAGACATGGACATTTTTTGAGGAAATGGTGTCTTGGTGTGCACACACACATACATACAGACACACACACAAGCACATGCACGCACATGCACACACACATGCACACGCACGCACACACACACACAAGCACATGCACACGCACGCACACACACACAGACAAGCACATGCGCACACACAGACAAGCACATGTACATGCACGCACAAACACACACGCGCACATACACACACACGCACACACACACATGCACAAACACGCACACATGCACATACATGCACACGGCCACACACACACGCACATACACACAGAAGCGCACGCACACACACAGACAAGCACTTGCATGCACACACACAGACAAGCACATGCACACACACGCACACATACAGACATGCACACACACAGACACGCACACACACACACAGACATGCACACACACGCGCACTTACACACAAACACATGCACACACACGCACAAACACACGCACGCACA